ATATATGTAATATAGTTATAAAATGTGTTATAAAATTAGTCAGAGTTCAAAGATTCAAAACTCAACTCACCTATATTTGAGGGGAAACATCAAAGACTCCAGAGCCCTACAGGCATCACTGAGCCTCTGAAAACTTGCGGAGTGAAAGAGAACTTTATTTTCCGTAAGCACGGCACAGAATAAGCTGAGTACATTTTGGATTCCTTAAAAAAAAACAAAACCAAAGAAAAAAAACCTGTAACAACGTGCCAAAAGAAGAATCAAAATTACATTACAATGTACCATTTTCTGGAGGAATTTTCAAAAAGCATATGATAAATGCACAAATTGCCAAACCCCAAGTTCTTCTACCTTTTATTTAGTTAGTGCAGCTTCCTTTCTATTTTTCAGATTGCTAAAATACTATCCAAATGTATTTCTGCATTTCAAATGTATTATATCTCCCTTTCAATACTACTTTTAAGTATTTCCTCTTCTCAGCACAAACCCCAGCAATGCTTAATAATGACTTCAAACAGTATTATGTGTATTTCTGCATAGCCTTCTGTGTATCTAGAATTCAGTTCTGGTCACTGATCCAGGCTTAACTTCTAAACCTTTATGTATCTCCATGGTTGGGAGGGGAATATCACAATGCTGAGCTCAAAAGTAAATGACAAAGACTTCCTAGTAAATACGTTCATACTTTATCCATAGAGAGCATTCTAGGAGTCACAAGGTTAAAAAAGGGCAGTAAGTGTGTACATGTCAGTAGAAGGATATGTTAAAGAAGAGCTGACTGTTAAACAAGCCCCACTAGATTTAGGCTAAGACTCATGAATCAGATCATGATTTTTTTTTTTTTAAAAGACAATATAATTTACCTAGGAGACAAAGCCATGTGCTTTCAGGGAAAACCAAAAATACATTTCCTTTAAAACAAAGTCCCATCCTGAGAAGCAGATATGTCTGAGATATGTGAGATATGCTGAAATTTATGAAATTTCCTGAAATATGCTGGAATGTATGATGTTTCCCTGAGGGCATAGCTTGTGTTATCAGTAAGACAGCCTGTATTACCTTTACAAAGCTACTGCTTATCTTGCAATAATCTTCCCAGTAACAAGTGTGACTACTGAGAGCCACTATATTCATATGACAATTAACACTTTGTTTTGCTTAAGTAATTTTTATTACATGTTTTGACAAATCTTTTTTTTTCTATGATGTATGAAAATTTGCTTTGCTGGAGTGGAGCTTGGTTCATAAAGGGACAAGGATTCAGAGAGGGTTTTTGAGAAAAAGACTTAATTCTTAGGATGAACAAGTGAAACAATAACATAGTGGCTTGTGCTTTCAAAGTCCATTCTCCAGGAACCCTAAGGACAGACTCATGAAATCCAAGGGAGAGACTTGAGAGGACTCAGAAGGTTTTGTTATAATGCTGAGTGAGTTACTGTTGCAAATATTTGCTATTGTTTTCAGTGGCATAATTAATACTGCATTAGTATAAACCAAACTGCTTTATAATACACAATGTAAGGATAGTGTTAAAGAAAAACCAATCTAATTTCCTTATGTGAATGAAATAGCACTCATCAGTGAATGGTTAGAAGCTAACTTGAAATAGTGTCCTTGCTTGTGTATGTATGTACGAGGGTATGTATACATTTGAACACAAAGTTAGAAACTGGTGCCTGTTTAAAAAAATAATCTCTGTAAGAAATTAAAAACTTGAGCTGCCCTTTTTATGCAAAACTGCCCTTGTTCCTTTCCCAGCAGATTTTAAAGATTGCTTTGGAGTATACTTTTTGTTTTAAACTAAGTTTTTGTTTTCAAGTGAAGTGGGCTTTTTACACCATTACATTCCACATCAAATATCTTATTAAGACACTGAGGAATATATTTTTTATAAACATATGACACTTTTTTTCCTGTAATGAGATACAAAAATTCTCAAGCAATCCTCTATAAAACTTTAATGTTCTGACAGGTATTAATGAGGAAAATAACCCCTACAAAACTCACAAATATTCACAACATTTGGTACAACTAAATTCTCTAAAAAAAAAAAAAAAAAAAATCCCTCTTGTGATCAAAGTATAACTAAAAATTCTTGAAAAAAACCCTGGTTGTCCATTCTGCACGTCTTAAAATTGCAACCTAGGCTGAGAGGTAACAGACATAAAATATCTTCTGGATGTTATTTACTATAAATTGTGTTTTACAAAGAATTAAAACATTCCTTTACTGAAAGGATTCAATTGAAATCAAGCTGTGTAAAAAGATCGCCCTTTCTTCTAGCTATATGACATTGTCTTCCAGTGGATTATGATGATTCAAGAGTCTAGAAGGAATATCCTAATTCTAATACCTTTAAAAGTCCTGAAACTTATCCAGTATCAGCATTTTCCCCTTGAAATCTCCTCTGAATATAGGCTTCCTCATCAGATATCAAAATAATACACAATTCTCAACAGTACATAATTAATGAGCACTTAAAAAAATGCAAAATTTTTACTAACAAAACAGGAGAACACCTGCAAATACTTCATATTATTTGAACACTGGCCTTCTAAAAAGATGTACACAAAACATTCCGACTTTCTAGTGTTGATACCTGTCTATGAAGCCAAAACAAAGTAGCATGGTTACACTGATTTTTTTGTTCTATTAAAAAAATTGAGAACGCATTGGCTGTACAGCACAAGATCACGCAGTCTCCTAGGAACTACTAAAATGATATACAGTTGTATAGCTAATACAGGTAATCTTCATATTCATGTACAGCGTTAACATGCATGTCTTTTAGATTTTTATCTTTACCACTGTAAGAAATGGGTTTTGGTAAGTGTCTTCAATTTACAAAAAATTTTGGATGTCTAGTCAGTGTGAGGTTTTTTTCTTGCTGATTGTTTTCAAGAGTTTCTTTTAAGAAAGCAAGTTCTTGTACATTATGTTAGAAAACAGGTCAAAACTCAGCGCTGAAGTTCCACTGAAGTTCAACTGTTCTATCTAATAGACTATGTTCTTGGTAACCAGAAAAATAAGGTCTTTGTTTCTGTAAAACTCAGGGGAAAAAAAAGAAGTACAACAACATCATTCGCCACCTGAACTCAACTACAGTAAGCCTGGAGTTCACAAGTTCTACCTTCCTCCCAAGGTGTCATTGGAGGACAAAGGGACTATATGTAAAAGGCAACACTTACTGGAATAAAAAGGAGGAAAAAAAAGAAGAAATAAACCAATGTTTTTTGTTTTTTTTTTTTAAACTTAAACTATTAAGAAGTGATGATACAGTTTGTAAAGCTTTCATAGTTTCATTAGGGAAATTAGTCTGGTTTTGCTGCATATTAAATGTGGCCACAGATAAAGCTTCAGTTTGTACTCCACAAAGGCATTTCTCATTGTAGCTTAATCAGCACCAATATAATTTGATATTTAAGATGTCTACTTTTAGCAACTATCTCCATGTATAAACTTGATGCCACACAGAATAATATTTACTGCAAACATGGTTTTATTACATTCTGCTAGTTGGTCTCTCAGATGCTCACTACATTTTAACTGGCCATGAAAGATGAATTTGAAATGTTTGCTGTGATATGAATGCACCAGATGTAGCCCCAGCTTTGCTGTTAGACAAAAGTATTGCTTTATTTGCAGAACTAATGAGAGTGACCAAAATGGAGAGCATCTAAACATATCTCTGTCATAAATTAGCAGGTCTTGCAGGGAATAGCAGGAAAAAACCCAGTAAGGACACTGGGAAATATCCAACCTTCTCTGTGAGTTTAACAGGGACAGATGAAAACCATCACCAAAGCAAGGAGACAGGCTGGTAGGGACAAGGAAAGCTCACTGGACAACTGCTCACATATCAAAAGGGATAAGAAGCATTGTCTCTCCAGTTTGGCAATCCCTGTCACATGCCCAAGTTAGCAGGTCCTTGGATAAAGCAGTTAAAAGCAGCTGTGAACTATGTACATTACTGCCTTCCAATCTATCATTGGCTAAAATCCCTGCACAAGGAAACACCTCAGCAGAGCACTAGAGAACCAAGTGCAGGATACAGATCTCCTGCACTCCTTGTCTGCACATCTGGGCTAAGTCCAAACACATACAAGAAACATGCATGGGAAACGTGTGATAGTTACCTATATGTGACCAACATAACTTTATAGATGTTCTTCACGCTGAACCTGGAATTTTCAATGGATTGAATCTCCATCTAAAAGTTATTTCTAAATAACCTAGCCCATTTTCTGCATTCTGAATGCATAAAAAGCAAAGTCACCTCACCAAAACTGGCCACATTGCAGCAGAAACAGAAGAAAAGAGACTAGGAGTCTTGTGTGTTTGCATTTGAAAATAAAATTCTTTTCATTTCTGTAAGGTACCTACAATACAAATGAATATACCACAGTGAGAGTATTTGACTTGTTCTTTATAATTAGAGTTCATATAAAAATACATAAATAACTTACAAGAAAGAACACTACAATAAAAAAACAAAAACAAACAAAAAAAACCCCTACACACACCAAGAAATAACCATGGTCATTTCTTAAGGTATCTTTCACAAAAGCCAGTTTAAAGTGAGAACTTCACTGGCTTTTACTCTTCTCTTTCCTGAATGAAAGCTTCACAGCCTAAGAAATATTAAATGTATACTGAGGGAGAGGTTCTGAAGTTTTGGGGGGTTTTGTTTTGGGTTTTTTTTTTCCACATAATAGAAGTGCTCTTCCATTGAGAAGGTAATCACCAACATTGACCAACATCTTGAATACAGGCTACTCAGTTTGGAAACGCACTTGGACATCAGTTTGGAAACGTACTTGGACAGTGACACCCAGGCTAACCACTTCCACTGACTGAAAAACTTGTAAAGCCCAGACAGCTTCTTTGGTATCAGTTGTTTTCCTTCCATCTCTCTCTCTCTCTTTTTTTTTTTTTTTTAATACTCTGCATACAATACAGAAGAATATAAAATAAGTAAAATCAAGTGGACAATATAGACACCTAATCTGGAATTTTCTTATTTTTAAGATGATAGCCACTAAATACAAAATTATTGCTCCACATGTACTTTGAAATACATGTTTTCAGGAATATGAGCAATAATAACTGTGAAGGCATTTTTCATCTGATAGACTCAAACAAATTAAAAATAGTAAGACTTTTGATTACTTTCCTTTTTTAAACCATTTAAACTACTGATTAA